GGGGAGGGGGGGGGGGGAACAGAAGAGTGTTTCAAAGATATAAAAGAGACAGACACATAGGTAGAAAAAAGATGATGTGAGTACTGTGAAAGTAGTCTAATATGATATACAGTGGGGTGATGGTAGTTTGAAATCAGAAGTCAACTGTCGGTCAATAGACTTTTTGGCGAGTGAGTATACGTTGTCCAGGGTGCATCACATGGAGGTAAGTCTATCGCACATCCCAGCTTTAAAATATAAATTGTATGAAAACGAATTTAATAGTTGAAGAATCTTGGGTTATTTTGACTTCTCTTTCATGCCTGAGTTGATGCTAATGCCCAGTGAGCTCGCGACAAAAGCTAGACATCTTAATATTTCAAGCGGGAGAAGGACACCTTTTAACTAATTTTTGTGGTTACTAACCTTTCCAACAAAGTGGAATTATTTGCTGGAGAAAAGTTTTCACAGGAGGCGGAACGCGATATGTTTACTTCCACGTGGTGCACCATGGGCAACGTATACTCACTCGGCAAAAAGTCCCTAAATTGGCAGTTGACTTCTGATTTCAAATAACCATGACTCTACTGAATGCCATTTTCCACCCCTTCCACAGCACTCATCTTACCTTTTTCTCTACCATTGTATCTGCCTCTTTTAAATCTTTGAACCGCTCTTCTCTTCCCATTCTCAACCTTTTGTGACTTCGATGTTCCTTCCCTTCGTGAAGCCTGAGGTCAACTAATGGGCTAGTGATAGCTATCATAAAGCCTGCCATTTGATATAAATAAATAAATGCTTTCACAGGAGCAGTTATGGTTATAACACGGCTCTTGAACAAGTGAATTAGTAAAAATATTGATTTAACAAAATCCAAATTATTTCCTAAGAGAAGTCAATCCTGAGTGGTATGGTTATTCCCCCACCCTCACCCACTTCAGTATTACAAAAGTTTTAATTCTGACATGAATAAGTAGAAACAAAGGTCAAAACTCTTTCCTTAGCAAATTAATCCCTATTTTGCTCCATTACAGGACGTATTAAATGAAGTTTTAATTTCTTAATTGCCAACTTCCGACTAACTGCGACTCTCCTCCTATTGGTGTGGGAGCTCATTTCTACTTCTTATTGATTATCCCGTTTCACTGACTCAAAGAGACGAAGGTATTAACCATATCCTCCCCCTAGAGTATAAGCCATTCAGCCACTTAGAGGTACAGACAGGCAAGTGCGAAGTATCTCCCTGACCGTTAGCTTCGCATCCTCGCGATGCCTACATATTACCCTGCAGCACGCGCACTATTCCCCTCCTATTAACAGGCTTGGTTTTAATCATAACTCAGCTATTTTTCGAGATGTTACATGAACCGGTCAATTGGATGTAACTCATAAGAATGGCTATCAATTTCAATAAACTCTTCCTCCAAAATCTCTTACCGAAGACCCAGTCTGTTGCTCACACACAGGTCCCTGGATTTGGCAGTTGCGAGGCCATATTTGAGGGCACTGGCTCACAAGAATACCCCGAAGCTAAGAATGCTGATAATTTAGCCTCCGAACAGCAAGAAAGGGAGACAGAGAAACTCTCCCAGACATTGAAAAGCCTACGGATGCTTATTGACAAACACAACAGACAACGAACTGGGATTAAAGACTCGGCTAAACTCCACCTTAGAGCCCCTCCACAGCCACCATCGGAACCACATGTAAATGAACAACCGAGACACAGAAGGAATACCTTGAGTCACCATCCATATCAGGTGGATTCAGCACCAATTTGCAAAGATCTTGCTCATCACAGAGCAAATGAAAGGACGTCTAAAAAGCCCGAAAAGGTACAAAATTAAATTAAATCACATTTTCAATATTTTAGCACTCACAGTAATTCCAGTATTTTGAGATCGTTTAAATTACTTTTATTCTTTAAATTGCACTCTTGCTTTGAATTTCCAAGTGAAACGGGACGAAATTTTTTTTCATTGGAATTCATTGATAATTTTGGTCATTAATTGATTACCTATTTATTTTAGTTCTTGCTGTTTATGTAAAGATCTTTTACGGATAATTTAACTGAATTGGTGAGAATTGGTAAGCGAAAACTTGGCGATTTCAGTCGTTGGGAGAGTAATTTGAGTGTTAACGCCAGTCAAGTGAATCAAAATTCGAGCTTTTCATCTCTTACAAGCAATGTCTTTTGCCTCTAATAGTTTTGACAAAAAAATCAATGAATTATTACGTTGACCTCAAATTCGATTTATTTCACGCCTAGCCGAATTGTTTAATAGTTGAAATAATACTTTCTAGGGTTTATGTCCTACTTTCTGCGGCCAAATAGAATAATCATTTCTTTTTAAATCGTAGAATAAATTTAAATTTAAAGGTTAAATTGTGTTCTAGGAGAGAACATGATCTGAACAATTATTGCAACGAAAGTGCAATTAGTATTTGAGCTATAAAGATTCATACACGGTTTACCGTCAAAAAAAAATTAATTTATGGATTTGAACTTTCGCCTTCACCTAGTAGGTTGCACCAGTAGATTGCCAATAAATAAAATGAACTGAAACTGTAAAGGCAAATTCATTCGGTTACATTTAGATAATTAAAATGTGCAATCTCGCTTCTAGGTCATAGTGGAAGTTCGTGTAGTATTTCTGAAAATCGGCGAAATTGATACATTGAAAGAAATGTATCGCGCTGACGCTTTCATTCAAACGAAGTGGCCAGAACCTCGGTTAAACGGCAAAACGGATGAAGTAAGTCGAAATTAAATATGTTTAAAATTATAAATTCTTTAATCAACAATTCGAATTTTCACACATTTTTTGTCGTGCAAAAGTAATAGATTTAAAACATATTTGATCTACACTTATTTTGACCCTATTTTCAATATAATTCTGATTTTTAAGGACTATTTTCATCAATTGGTTATATTTTTAAGCATTTTACTACTTTTTTTGCAAAATTTACTGCTATAGTGGAAATAGACATTTAACTATTGTCGTATTTGTAGTAGCTTGACCACTAACTAATTTTGATTTGCGCAATTGAAGATGGCACCTGTTACTATAATAATGGACAGTTTTTGACAAAAATATAATTAGAACACCAACCAGAAGAAAAAGATATTGGACGACCTAGCTTCCACTACAATTTCCTCCTCTGTTTAAGCAAAAGCCTCCATGCACACTACACGCTTTCTGTGTTTAGGAACTTACAAAAACTGACCTTTCAAAATGCTGGAATCCCCTTGTATACATCGAGAACATTCTAACAGAATCAAAGGAACAGCACTGGATGTCGGCGAAAAATGACGATAATGGTCAAGTTTTCATTACTGAAAGGCGTAGACTTCGAGCAATCTTTCTCGAAACTCTTGAACTCAATGATTTTCCACTGGACGTACAGGTACGATTTCGCCAATTCTTTCACTACTTTTGAATGATCTTGAATTTCACATAGTGCCTAATTCACACGAAAATTAAACACGTAGGGGGATGGGGGGTGGGGGGTTCAGAGGGGATTTCGGTGGATGAATACTAGGTCAAGCATCAGCAAAGGGATGTACCTCTTTGACCTGAAAAGGATTATTATCAGATCTTGTAAATTTTGCAGTATCGATTAGTGCCAACTGGGATGGATGCTTAAGATTTAGTAAGAAACATATTAATTACACATTCTTTTTGTGTTGGTCTTAACTTATCCTTTCACAATGATAAATTTAACCGTTTTGAGGTTATAGTAGTTTGTCTTCTTTGCAGTTTATTGGTACTGCATTATTTTGTTGCTGTTCCTCATTGGGAGCCTATTGTTGTGTCATGATATGTGTGGAAGAATAGCTAAAATCTAGGCAATAATTCGAGTCATTTTTATTTTACTTCAGGGAAATGCCTCACAAAAAAATTATTTGTTTTTTTTGTCTCAATTTATGGTGAAACAAATGAATTAAAAAATAAAAAAATATCATTTATTTTCAAGAATAAAAGACGTTTTGCCACAAGATTGTGATTGATACATATTACGTTTCTAAGTGCCCCTTATTTTAAAGAATGTCCTATTTTATATGCTTTTCCATTGTCGTGAAGTATTTATTTATATCAAATGGCAGGCGTTTTAATAGTTATCATTAGCCCTTTAGTTGACTTCAGGCTTCACAGAGTGGAGGAGGAACATCGAAGGGAAAAAGTCGAGAGGGGGGAGGGAAGAGAAGAGTGTTTCAAAGATGTAAAAGAGAAAGACATGAAGGTAGAAAAAAGGTGAGGTGATTAATGTGAAAGTAGTCAAATATGACATATAGTGGGGTGATGGTAGATTGAAGACAGAAATCAACTGCCGAGTAATAGACTTTTCTCCCATATGAGTATACGTTGACCAGGGTGTCCCACGTGAAGGTAAGTCTA